TGTCTTGATTAATTAACTCTGTCACTAAAGCCCCAAGGTACCACAGAAGGACTCACTAGGAATTTATGTCTCTGGGTTCCAGCCAGTTTGACAGGTAGCCTGCCCATGGCCAGCTCCATGGGTAATGGCCTGAGCCCATCTTGGTCCCCTGAGGGTACACTAGGACACATTGTAATTCTCTTATCGTGGGACATATGGCCCAGTCAGCAGAAAGAATCCAAACACCTAGATTGTTGCTCTTCTCTGACAGGATAATAAATTCCCTTCTACTACATTCCCATATGTATAGGAAGTTCTTCATGGACACAGCTATACAGGGGAAGAGATGGATCAACAGTTCTATTTCTGGGTGAGCCTCCTGGGAAATTAATTGTTCAGTCACTCATTTAGTCACACAAGTATTTTACTTGTTTTTCACCAGACTACACTAGACTCCTTAGGGAGAAAAGGACATGATCTAATGTAGTATAAATTAAAGGTCCTACTTTTAATACATTTATGATTTTAGTTGAAAACATGTGACATCTCTTATAAAAACAAGAGCCAAAATTTGATGTTCCAAACAAAGTCTCCAGGCAAAGAAAGTCGATTGTTCTGGTTATCAGGGACATGTGTTTCCTTCTTCACTTCTGGAACTTTCTGGTTGATTTCAAACATACATTGAATGACATGGACCCACCACCAGGCAGAGCTTTGGCAGGAGAAAATCAAAAGTCCAAGTCTCTTCCTCTGCCTTTCTCTATTTCTTCTCCTGGAATGTGTAGATAAGGTAACAGCAGAAGGTAGATAAAGGAAGAGAAGCTCCCATTTCACCTCCATCCCATGGAGGAGGTACATCCATCTAGATTGGTTGGTTTGGTAGTTTGGACTGGGCCACATATATGTAGAGCCAAACTTGGACCTAGATCTGCTCTCTGGTCTACACTGCACTGGGGACTGTCAGGCATAGTGTGTTTAATTTCCCTTCTCCCTTCAGATCATGTGGCAGAATGGTGTACTTCCCCAGGAACCCACTGTCCTTAAACAAGTCCTACCATCTTTTCTTCTCTCTCTTCTTCCCATGTAGAAAAAAAAGAACATTCATGGCCTGTGATTGACTTGGATTTTTTTCCCCCTTACAATTGTTGGTATGGAAAAAGGGAGAAAAACATAAGCCACCATTGTTTTTGCTTCCTCCAGCCTAATCTCTCTGAATTAGGCCTTGGGATCCACCCTCTTAGTAACCAGGTGCTATTTTATTTTCTTTTTTCATTTTTATTTTATACATCTATCTCTAAAACACTTATATAGTTTCCTGTCCAAAGACCATCCAAGAGTTCCCTTTAAAATGAAGGAGCCAACCAAAGAAATAGACCCGAGCGAGGATCAGTGGAACAGATTAGAAGATGCAGAAACAACTCCAGACATACTCAGCCACCTCATCTTTGACAAAGGAGCCAAACACCCTCACCAGATGAAAGATAGCCTCTTTAATAAATGGTGCTGGAAAAACTGGATTTCAACTTGCCAAGGATTAAAACTAGACCCATATCTTTCATCCAGCACTGAACTAAAATTGAAATGTATCTAAGATCTATTAAAACAGAAACACTAACCCCGCTAGAAGATAGGTTAGGTAGAATAGAACTCTTGAAGATATTGGCATAGGAAAAGACTTTATGAACAAAACCTTGGTCACACAGGGACTAGCACAAAGAATCAACAACTGAAATCTCATCTTATTAGAAATAAGCAAGAGAAATTACCAACAGAGTGAAGAGACAACCCACAGTGTGGGAAAAAATTTTACCAGCTGTTCCTCAGACAAAGGTCTCCTATCTAGAATATATAAAGAACTTTAAAAAGAGTCAGACCCCCCCAAATTTAAAGACCCAATCCAGAAATGGGCATCTGAAATGAATAGAAATTTCTCAGATGAAGAAGTAGAATGAAAAAATGTTCAACATCACTGGTCATTAGAGAGATGCAGGTGAAAACAACACTGAGATTCCACCTCACTCCATAAAGAATGGCTGCTTTCAGGAAAGCAACCAACAACAAATGCTGGCGGGCTGTGGGAAGAAAGAAACCACTGTGGAAAACAGTATGGAGATTTCTCAAAAAACTAGCATTAGAGGTTCCGTTTGACCCAGTTATTCTCCTGCTGGGTATGTTTCCAAAAGAATTAAAAGCATCATACTATAGCAATATATGCACACCCGTGTTTATAGTGACATAGTTTGTAATAGCTAAATCTTGGAAAGAGCCCAAAGGCCCATCAACTGGTGATTGGATAAAGAAGATGTGGTTTTTAAAAAAATAAAATGGAGTACTACTCAGCCATAAATAAAGATAAACTTGAGACAGTTATAGCTAAATGGATGCACCTTGAGTCCATATTCTTAAGTGAAATAAATAGGACACACATGTAAATACCAAATTGTCTCTGGTGTGAGACACTGAAAGTGTAAATGAGAACCAAAATGTATAATAGATATTGTGAAATAGGAACAAAATGTTCAAAGGGGAAGGGTTATGGGGTGGGGGGAAATAAAAGAGAAAGAAAAAAATTGAAGAAAAGAAGGAAAAAAAGAAATAAAACATGTATATAGGGAGGGGGGAGGGGTTGAAGGGAGAGTGAGAGAGCGGGGGAATGGGAAAAAAATAAGAACCAAGATATATCATGTATAGGTACAAATCCCCAATGCTGAATGTGATCAAAAGGTATTCCTAGAATGTACCAATAAACATATTTTTAAAATGAAGGAGCCAGCAAGGTCAGGCTAGGGCCAAGTCATCTACCCAGTTTGCCCAGCACAAGGCCATTACCTGAGAGTATTTCAAGTCTCCACCTAATGGAACTCTTCCATGGGCTCAGTATCCAAGACATACTTTTCTACATTACCTAAATTTTCTTATCTCCTATTTTTATTATTGATCTCTTTTGTAATGTATTTTGGCAGCCAGCGTTAATACCCCTCTGTTAAAAACAAACAACTCCTAACAGCTTCCTATAGCACTTAGAAAAATTCTAGTCTCAGCATAACCTGCATGGTAGATTGCATTGCTGATCTCAACAGGTACTGCTTCTCTCTAGGAAAGCCTTACACTTCCCCACCCCAATGATGTCACACTTGGCTATACAATTTGCCTTTGGCCAATGGAAGTGACACATCCAATTCCACACAGAATCTTTAAGATCATTGTACAGTGCCCCACTTTCTTTTTTCCCTTTTCAAGGATGCAAGAATTATCCCAGATAGGAGGTATTCCATCTACCTTAGTCCTGGAGTGGAGATGCGAATGGGTGCAAGAGAGATATGTGACACATAGACTTCTTTATTATATGCCACTTTGATTTCAGGCCCATTTATTACCATGTACTTTTTAGCCCAGTCTGAGTGATAATTCTACAGTGTGATCTAATCTCTGACCACTTCTTCAATGGCATGTTCTACCTTCCATCCCCCCTCCCCCGTCTACACTCATTACACACTATACACTCTGACCTTTTTTCTAATTTTGAACATCCAAGCTTGTTCTCAACTAAAAACCTTTGCATATGCTGTTCCTTCTGCCTAGAAAAATTTTCCCTGTGGTTTTCACATGGATGGTTCTTTTCCATTATTTGGATCTTGGCTCAAGTGTTACGTCTTAAGAAATGCTTTCCCTGTATCCCTCTCTAAGGGAGCTCTCTATCACATAATCCTGTTTTATTTTGCTTCTGTTCCCTGATTTATCCACTGGTTTCCCCATTAGAAAGAATATTCCATGAGAGTGAAAATCTTATCCATCATATTCACCACTGTGTCTCTGGACACTAGAAAATCACTTGACACATTGAGACTTATTAAGTATTTGTGGATGTATAATGAATCTCAGCCCGAAGCTTTAAAGCCAGTTTCAACCTCCAATCAGACACATTTTCCCAGAACTCCTCAAACTCAACAGATCCAATCCAGAATTCCTAATTCTGTCCTCTCTTCCCTTACCCCCACCACCTCCTCCTCCTCCAGTTCCTGATTAGTACCATCATGTTCCTCAACACCCAAACCAGAAGCCTGGGGGTAGTTTTCTATCACTCATTTCCTCTCTCCCTCCCTTCACCCTCAATCAGTCTCCAGGCTGATTGTCTTCTTTAAATCTCTTTCTAATCTACCTCATCCTCATTCCACACACCTGCCCTTACCCAGACCCTCATCATCCCCTGCCTGGATTATCACAATCTCCGCAGAACAGAACTCCCTGTTTCCAACTCCAGGTCCCATCTGTCCTGCAGACTGCCACCAGAATTATCTCTAAAATCTGATCATGTCACTCTCCTTTTTAGAAGGATTTCAAGGGAGCTACAGAAAAAAACTTAACTCCTTTGAGGCCATGTGGTACCTTTGCATTCTGGCTCCTGCTAACTCCCCAGCATTTCTCTTCACACTCTGAGCTGTCATCCCATCCAGCCACACAGAATCAGGACAGCAGCTCCAACACGCGTTTGCACACATTGCCTCCTGGACCCTCAAATGCTCTTCCTGTGCACCCCCTGCCCCACTCGAAACACACACACTTCTATCAGCTCCCTCCTACTGCAAGCTTTCTCTGCTACATGCTCCTGGATATCTGTCTCACTCCCCCTGAGAAGCTCTTTTGACTCCCCTTTTCCCTCTTAAAAATAGTTCTAATTCTAATCACCAGCCTTCTTTCACCCCAAATATCCATCCTAAGACTTTTTGGCTGCTTCTGGCCTATGGGGTTATCTCCTCCACAAATAAAGGCTTCCTCAACTTTTCCTGTTTGAGTCCCCAGCATGTCCCACAGTGCCTGACAGACAGTATGTCCTCAAAAAGTCTTGCTCTGAGAAATAGATAAAACAAACAGTGCTACATATAAAGAGAACATAATGGACAGGGTAATGTACTCCAAGCTAGGGCACAGGTTTGCATGATTCAACCAGGAAAAACAATGCAGATGATAGCCTCATGGACAATTCTGTCCTACAAAGGTGACCTTATAGAGCAGACACTCACCTGGCACAACGGGAAGAGGATCTGGGGTTTCAGAAGTCTCGGGTGCTCATCTAACTCGTCCTCACCGGCTCTTCTATCTTGAACTTGTTGGCCCAGGCTTTCTTGCCCGCTCTGTGTAGAACTTTGTCCCATACGTATCTTACAGGAAAGGATTTTATTCACGTTATTCCCACTTTCCACATTCCAAACGAGAAATAAGTGAGATCCCAAAACCATACAATTAGTAAGTGGCCAAGTAAGAGCTTGAACACAGAGTGTGTTTCTGAGCTTAGCCTCTCACTGACAGGCTGGGTTTCCCTCAAATGACTGTGTTAGGAAGGAGAGTCACCTGCTCCCCCACGTAAAATGTCCTCAATTCCAAGGCTCTCTCCACCTGGGCTTTCTTAACTGCTTTTCCTCCTAAGATCAACAGCCCCCCAGGCAGAAACCCACGCCGTCAGTTTAGGAAAATCAGGTTCCAACTAATGCTATTTGAGGCTCAGAACAAACCCTCCAGCCTTCCTACATTTTTCTTAAATGCAGTTCTTAACAATAATGATGGCACCTGTGAGGGAGGGAAAGGGGATTTATCCTGAGAGTTGGTTTCATGTCACCTAAAAGGATTATTTTATACCATTAGAAAGATAATTTCCCTCCTACTGGGGAGGATGGATTAGGTCTTCTCTTCAGATGGCACTTTATGAAAAGATTATTTAAAGATTAAGGGACAAAATGGATACATCTGACATCTGCTAGGGTGCAGTTTTTTGGCTGGTTGTGAAACCATCATCATTCTTGCAATTAGTAGGGTATTCACCTTGATGGTAATGTAGCTCTGATTTGCACACAAATGTCCACACGTTTCTGTTGTGGGGTTTCCTTCCCTATCTCCTACCATTGCTAACTAAGAAGGTCACAAAATGCCAAGAAATCATCTCTGATCTCTCCACCCAGAAGCAACCATCTTTCCTCCAGACTCTTGCTTCTCTATGAAGGTCTCATCACTTGATGCAGAGCTCTCCCTGCCTCTGCCTTTTCTCCTTCAAGCCTGAGGCTTCTCACCACATGATCTCTCAGCCCTCATAAAAGTCTGAGCCTGGGGAAGTAGAAACACCTTTCTGCTCCTCCCATCCCTGCCATTTACCTAGGAAGAAGGGCCTTGGAGGCCTCTGCTGGAAGTTTTCTGCAGATCTGAACCTCACCAGGTGGTTGTCTACACAAGGAGTTAGTTGCTGAGGATCGCAGGGTACAATTGTCATCCCAAGGGCTTTCCAGGAAATGGTGCCATCCAGCATACCTTGGTCAGACACCCTGGGATGCATACTGCTCATTTGCACCAGCCTCTGGTCTCTGCACAAGAAACCAGATAAATATCCCTTCCCTCGCAGAGCTTACATTCCAAAAAGCATAGGGAGAAAGACATTGATATTCAATAAATGGAATAGTGAGTAAATTATACAACATGGTAAAAGTTGAAAAACAGTGCAAAAGAAAAAAAACATAGACCAAGGAAAAGAGGATGGAGAATATGAAAGAGAGGAAAGGGAGAGAGTGGAACAGGGGTCCATAGGGAGGTTAGGACAGGCTGCATCAAGAGGTGAGGTTTGGCCAAAGGCTGGAAGAGATAGCATAGTAGTCAGGTAGATGTGTGTAGGAAGAACGTTTTCTGCATAGAACAATCAGAGCAGGCAGCAGAAAACTGTGCCTAGGAGCCAGATCCAACTTGCTACCTATTCTTAGGTGGCTGCTATAATGTGCATGCTGAATGGCCCTCAAAGGCCCATGTGTTAAAGACTTGATCCCTACTTTGTGGCTATTGGGAGGTGATAGAACACTTCAGAGTAGGCCTAATGGAAGTCTTTAGGTCACTGGGGGTGTGCTGAAGGGGATAGTGGGACCTGGCTCCTTCCTCTTGCTTTTTTTCTTCCTGCTATGAAGTGAGTGATTTTGCTCCACTTTGTGCCCCTGCCTTTCAACAGGCCCAAAAGCAACAGGACCAAGCTATCCTGGGATAAACCTCCAAAACTATGAGCCAAAATAAACCTTCTTTATAAGTTGATTACCTCAGATATTTTGTTACAGTAACAGAAAGCTGGTAAGTACAGTGACCCACCAGCTAAGGGTGTTTTTTACATTTTTAAGTGGGGGGGGGGGCGGGCATCAAAAGAAGAATAGTATTTTATGATACATGAAATTCAAAATGTTAATTTCCATCAATAAAATTGTACTGGAACTCAGCCATGTTTGTTTATGTAGTGTCTGTGACTGCTTTCACAGTACAACTGCAGAGTTGAGTTACCGTGACAGAAACTGTACACCTCCAGAGCTGAAATATTTGCTATCTGGCTCTTTACAGAAAAAGTTCCTAGGGCAGGAACAGGAAGAGAGAGGAGACAAACATGGTGGGAGTGAAGCAGGCAATGAATGGAAAGAGGTCACAGTGGGGAGAGGCTGGAGAGGGCATGCAGCTCATGTGAGGTCTTTCAGGCCATCTGATTTTAACTCAGAAAATAGGGAGCCACTGCAGGTTTCTTATTAGAGGAGTCACATTATTGGACTTACATTTTAAGAGATGTCTTTGGCTGCTCTTTTGAAAACAAACTGTTAAGGAGCTATTGTCATTGTTCAGAGGAGAAAAAAGAGTAGCTTAGGCCCAGGTGGTAGCAGCCAGTGTAGGTGACATGCATCCTCTGATTTTGGATATGTTTTGGACCTGGAGCCTACAGGATATCCTCATGAATTGGATATGGAATTTAAGAATAAAACAGAGATCCTAGGCTTAGGGGTGAGGAATTGAAAAGTAGAACAAGTGCACAATTCCTTTTCAACCACTCTAGGTTAGAAGTCTCTAATGTACCAGCCTGCGGTGGCACTGAGTGGCAGTTGGACATGAGCCTGGAAGGAAGAAAGAGCCAAGCAGAGATATGGATATGGGATCTGTCAACATATAGGTAGTATTTAGGCCTCAAAGCAAGTGCATATGGAAAGAGGAAAAGAAGAAAACCAAGCATTGAGCCCTGGACAGTACAATGTTAAGAAACCAGAGGAAAGGGGGAGGAAGGTACAGAGGAGACTAACACAGGGTCCATGAAGTGGGTAGAACAAGGCCAGAGAGGTGTCTGGAAGCTGGGTACAAATGCTGTATCATATCAGCTGGGTCCACAGAGGTGGGGAAGCTGTATGAGGAGATACAGTAACCACTTGAACCCAGTGCTGCTGCTATGTAAGTCACACGAGGGCTGAGAGTTAACCACTGCACCTAGAAACACAGATAATGGACAGTGTGCCAGCAAGAGGTTTGGAGTGAGACCGAGGTAAGAGCTGATTGGAATGAATTTGAGTGAGGGGGAGAAAGAGGACTTGGACAAGGTAGGTCTGGACAACTCTTTTGGGACATTTGCTGCAAAGAAATGGAACAATAACCAGAGAGGAAATTCAGGAGGATGGGAATGATCTAGTACAAGGCAAAACAGAAGTGGGGGCAGCTCGAAGGATCTGGCACATCCATGTATAGACCATGGAAAGATCATTCCCCTGTAATCCGAATACCCATCCATGTCACACATTCAAACATGTTCCTGTATTTATTCAGTCCCTTGTTTCTTACTCTGTGCCCTCCGTGTGCCTGGTTCTGTTCTAGGCATACCCAAGAAACAAGCCCATTCTCTGCTCTCTTGTAGGTTATGTTCTAGTGGAGAAAGCTGGTGAGGTAATTAAGAATCCATAGACCAACTGGGTCTGAAAAGAGGACATTAAATATCTCATAAAATGAAAGTTCAGATGAATGTTCACAGTTATGCCATTATTATAGCCTTAATCAAAATTCATTGCCACTGCCTACTTATCTCTAGCCTACACTGAGGTGATCTTCCTTAAAGGCAAAATATTTATAACCCCAGCACCTGCAATAGCCTCTGACCCAGGGAAAGAACGTTTAAAAGGTCTGTTGAGTAAATACAAAAAATTCAAGAGTTGGAGAAAATCCTCCCTTGATATCCCTCCATATTATTCACTCATGTGAGTTACCAAGCTACAGATGCAAAACCTCCCTAAACACCCAAGTATAAATTAGTTTCCTTGGATACTTTTAACGGCAGCTGAAATTGTTCCTTATCCATTGCATTTTTCTATTAAGTGGGAGGAAGTGGAGATCTGGGAATAATAATTTGGAAACTGAGGTATCATCAATATAAGATTTGGTGTCCTGATCCAGTGGTTGGTCCTACTACAGCATAAGGACATCAAATACAACTGGAGGGGACTTTGGCAGAGCAAACACATGAGAAGGGGTTCAAAGAGAGGAAAGAGGTGAAAGGGCCCCTCGATGGATGTAAGGACATAATTTACCTAAGGCAGAGCCACTGGGGACCCCTACATTGCACTGTTGATTCAGAGAGCAGGTGTCCCAAGTCTCACCCCAAGCCACCATCTCTGACACCTCAGAGTCCTCTCCAGATTCCAGGAAACAAAGCTACTAATTACAAATTAGTCTTTGCAATTGTTTTAATTAGGAGGCTGTCTGTCTCTGATTAATTTTGCAGCCTTCCAAACTTACCATCAATATATAAATTTGGCATCATACAAAAGCTGCTAACCTTTAAATGACTTATGCTTTGTATTTCTGGGCAGGGCTTGTAAAAGAAGAATAATCAAGACAGCAGTTTTTTAAAAGTGGAGTGGAGAGTGTGGATGCAAGTACTTGATCTTATTCTTATTTCTAACTAGTGATCTTGCTTTCTTTTTAAAATAAGAATGCTAAACAGTTTAAAGTAAATGGAATAGTTTTCAAATTGTACCTTCTGAGCTTGTATGTAGAATTAACTTATAAGTTGAAATCTCATCATGACATAGATTTCCGGGTAAGATCGATCATATCATCCTGGATACCTCTGACTACAGCATTAACAGCTGAGGTCATTTTCTGAGATTCCATCTCTCTCTGTGGTCACACAGTTTGGTGCCAAGGGGGTTCCATTACAGCTGATGAGTTTTGGGTGCATTGTATACACTGCTGGGCCCACAATAGCCTGAAGCCAACCTCCACAATCATGGTTTGCTTTGCCTTTGACCCATACTCAATTCCCAGAGCCTCAGGGGATTTTTCTGGATTTTTTTTATTGTGATAAAATATGCATCACAACAGTTTTCACTAACCATTTATAAGTGTACAATTCAATGGCTTTAAATACATTTACAAATTGTGTAACCATCACTACTACCTATACTTAGACTTTTTCATCATTACCTAAATTTGATGGGCTTTTTGTGAGGCCTAAGCAACAAGCCTTGACAGTTTCCAACTTCAGTGTACAACTGTAAAAA